GTGTCACTGGCCCTCATATGTGGGATCCGAACCGGGGCCCTCTGGCATCCCAAGCGAGTTCTTAACCATCGCGCCACTCGGCCGGCCCCTCCCATTTTTTTTAGTTGCAACAAAATACACATAGTGTAAAATTTATCATTTTAATCATTTTTAAATGTACAGTTTCCCAGGTATAAATTTTGTTTGAACAGTTGGGACCCAGAACATAGCCTTGGAAATCTACTTCCCTGGTGACATCTTTCTTTAATTGAGTCCAATATTTAATTACTTGCTGGGCTGAATTAAATGCTGGACTATGTGATCACCTATCCCTTGAGCCCTGAGGGTTGGTCCCACCACAGTTGCTGGGGATGCCACATGTCCCTTGTTGGCCCCATTCACAAAGGAGGGGTGGCATGTGCACAAAGGATGTGCTTATGCTTGGCAAACACACATGATGTCCTTCCCTCTCTAAATGCTCCGAAGACATTTATTTAATGTTTGATTTGTAGACTATTCTGAAATTTTGCTGGGGCTATGGTTCTGTGTTTTCTGGAATCCATGTGATTCCTATTTGTCCATGTTCCAGCTTCTGGCCTTTCCTAAGAAACTGAGAAGGCCAGGAAATAATTTATCTAATCTGAAAACCCAGCTTCCTAAGACTAGCCAGAGTTCCTGCCAGCTCTTTTCGGGGTCCTGGTCATCTTTTCGGGGTCCTTCCTAGCACATGCACTGTGCTCCTTGTAGTGTCATAGCCTTCAGCAAACATCTGCCAAGCCTCACCCCTGGGCCAGGTCCTGTGCTGGGCTTGCAAAACTCTGTCTTCTTGTACCTCAAGAAACTCCTGCACCAACAGCCCAGCCAAGGTGGCAGGTCCTGCAATGGGCACAGAGGCTACAGCTAGGAAACCCAGGGAGGTGCTTCTGTCAGCCTGGGGTCTCAAGAAGGGTTTCCCACAGGACTAGAGCTCAAGTGGTATCTTAAGGATGTCCAGGCAGAGGGGGCTATGTGGGAAAGGACCTGAGCTGTGTGAGATGAGGCACCTCCAGGGTCACCTGCTACTGAGTAGGGCTGGAGCCTAGATTTGGACTGGGGCTGGAAGGGGGTAGCCCAAGATCTCAGGAGCCCTGTGAGCCCCACTAAAGGAATGAATTCAATCCCAGAAGCAGCAGAGAGCTACTGACAGGCTCAGGGGAGGGGCACTCCATCTTTTGTGCGTGAGATGGACCACTTGGTTTGCTGGGTAGAGGCTGATGAGGGCAGAAGCAGGACCCCATGGTGGTCGCTGTGGCACCCAGTGGAGGAGATGGTGGCCCAGCCAGGGTGGAGAGGAGAGGCAGACTCGGGACACAAGTAGGGGCAATGGGGCAGAACACGTGGCCCTACACTGTCTTCTGCCTACTTATTACAGTCCCACATCCCACAAAGTCCTACAGTCTCATTTGGCTTCTCGGAGTCCCTGAGCCCTTCCCTGGCACTGTGTTCCTCCTGCTGCCCCTGAGCTGGGTGCCGTGGACAGTGGTGTCCATCCTCTGTGCAGGCAGAACTGTCTGTGTGAGTGCCTGACCCATGAGAGTACCTTTCTCTCTGGGTTCTGGGACCCCAAGAAAGCTTACCACGTTCCCCTCCTGGCGGATGCCAGAACTCTGTGACTGTGTACACTCGTTAATATCCCTGTTTTATTGAAGAACAGACAGGGAAGGGCCCAGTCTGTGGGGTCCTGCTGCCCTACCCAGACCCCTGGGATTAGGGTCTTGTCCTTTGTTCATGCCTAGCGCCTCCACCCTGCCATAAACTTGCCCTTCCCTGGGTCCCTCCACTTTCCCTGTTGTATGATCTGAATTGGAACCAGAAGAGCTGGGCCTCAATGAATCACTCCTGTTCTCATTAGGAACAGAACTCTCAGGAGGGAAGGAGTCTCGCTCTGCCATGGAACACAGCACCGGCACCTCACTGAATCGAGGGCAGTGTGGGGGGGGTGCTGCTCACCCTCCCTGCTCTGACCACCCCCTTTTATTTGTATCCTCCAGCTTTTCATGTGCCACCAAACTCAGGGAACCCTGGGGGGCTAAGGTGGGGAGGGGTGTGTCCCTTTAGACTGCAGAGCTAGGTCACCCTCTGGGTCCTTAACAACTGTGCTCTCTCACCCACCTCAGGACCCCTCCATCCCACTGGCTAACTGCTGGGCCCACGAAGACTGTCCTGAAGGGGAGACGGGGACATATAGCCACGGTATCAGTGGGCCCTGTCTGCCAGAGCCTCCACCGGGAATGGGGTTTGGGGGACAGGCTGGGATGCTGGGTGGTTCCTGAGTGCGGAACTGGTGGTGCTTCTGCGTCTCTCCTTTCTGCCAGTAGCCCCGTGCCCACTCTCCCCTACTCCAGGCCTGGAGTTTGTCTTATGTTTTCAAGGCATAAAAACGGGCCAGTGTGTGGTGTTCAACGGGACCCATAAAACCTGTGAGATCTGGGGCTGGTGCCCCGTGGAGAGCAGAACTGTGCCTGTGTAAGTCTCCCCCACCCCCAGAGTAGGGCCCCAGGACAGCACAGCCTGCCCCTCACCTCCCCTCTCCCCCACCAGCAGGAAGCCCCTGCTGGTCCAGGCCAAGAACTTCACACTGTTCATAAAAAACACCGTCACCTTCAGCAAGTTCAACTTCTCCAAGTAAGTGTGGGGAGGTCCTGGCAGGCCCCAGACCCTCCTTGTTCCCTGCTTGGCTTGACACCCGCCTCCCTCGGCCCCTCTCAGGTCCAATGCCTTAGAGACCTGGGACAACACCTATTTCAAACGATGCCGCTACGATCCACTCTCCAGCCCCTTCTGCCCAGTGTTCCAAATTGGGGACCTTGTGGCTGCAGCTGGAGGGGACTTTGAGGACCTGGCATTGCTGGTGGGTCTGTGGGGGGTAGGGTTCCAGGAGGGCTCAGGGAGAGGGTCCCGAGCCAATGTACCAGTGGAGCAGCGGTGTGCTGTGTGCAGGGCGGTTCTGTAGGCATCGGTGTCCGCTGGGATTGTGACCTGGATGCTGGGGGCTCTGACTGCCGACCCCACTACTCCTTCCAGCTGCAGGAGAGGAGCTACAACTTCAGGTGCCACCCCCATGGTCCCCGGTGTCCATCTGCTGCTCTTTAGCTAGGTCCCCCTGCACCTGTCCTCCTGTGGAGGCCAGGACAGACCCCACCCCAGCTCAGCCCTCTGGATGCTCTGCTGTGTGCACGAGTGGGGGTCCCAGGGGCAGGAGCTCTAGGCCTCAGCAAGGCTCTGTCCAGTCTCCCTCCTGAACCCTTCCTCCTTCACCCTATCCGTCCCCACACCCCATGTTATAGCTGGGACCCCTCTCCCCCAGCTCCTCCTCCTCCACCCCACCCTGCCTCCAGCATCTTCTCTAAACAGCACAGGGGGCTTTCTTTGTTACTTTTCCCTTAAGGTTTTATTTTTTTTTTAATTTTAAATCTATAGAAAAATTCAAAGATTAGTAACATAAACACCCATATACTCTTCAACAGGGTTCCCCAGGTGTTTTGTTTGTTTTTACCATTTTGCCACATTTGCTTTCTCTCTCCCCCTTTAGCGCGAGCCAGGTATATTTAGCTAGATTTCAAACACAGCCATTTGAAAGTAAGTGGCAGACATCTAGACACTCATCCCTCTCAACACTGTCCTGAGAATGAGGCTCTTCCCCGTGGACCATTATCCTATTGTCACTCTCAAGAAATTTAACACTGGCAGAATAAATCTAATATTTAAATTTCCCCAACTGTGCCAATAATGGTCCTAAATCTTATTTTCCAATCCAGGATGTACTCCAGGATCTTGCATGGCATTTATTATCATGTCTTTGAGTCTCCTATGTAGACCCCCACCCCTTCCCCATCCAGAATCCTTCTGCCACCTCAGGTCACCGCCTCCCCTATTGCTCACTTTTATGTGCACACAGCCTCCAGGCCTGGAGATGACACCCCTGACATTGCTGCCTGGCCTGGCTTTGCTGACCTTCCCAGCCCTTTGTAACTACATAGGGCTGGTTCCCTGCCCACACCCTCCTCCTCTCACCTCTGTGCTCTCATCGGCCCTACTTTCTCTGCCTAGAACTCCTTCCTGACCCCTGGAAAACCAGCGTGAAAGTCTCCCCTGGAGGAAGCCTTCCCTGGCTCCTAGGGGAGAGCGAGTCCCCCCTCTCCAGACCCTCACAACCCCGGGCCTGCCCCCACGCCCTCCGAACCCCACTGCTGGTGTCTGTTTAGGGACCCTTCTGTCCCTGTCCCCTCAGCAGGCATGGAGCTTTCTGAGAGGCAGGTCCTGGTTTGCTTTTCCCCTGTGTCCTCAGCAGTAACACAGAGCTGAGACCCAGGACTTGGGCTGGGGGTTGATGGAGTTAATGGATGAGCAAGATGGAGGGCTGGGGAGGGCCGGCCCAGCCTGGGAGTGGATAGAGCAGGCCACTAGACTTTATCTTGCCCTCAGGACAGCCACTCATTGGCTGGAGGACTCGGGTGTGGAGGCCCGGAGCTTGCTCAAGCTCTACGGGATCCGCTTCGATATCCTAGTCACTGGACGGGTAAGAGGGGCCTGGTGGGGCGGGCAGGGCAGGGGTGGGAGAGGGCAACAACCATAGCCTGAGAGGCTCAGCCCAGGTGTCTCTCAGGTAGGGAAGTTTGGAATCATCCCCACAACCATCACTCTGGCCACTGGAGCAGCTTGGCTGGGCGTGGTGAGTCTGGCCAATGTGGGCTTCTTCTGGCTTTGGAGAGCACATACCAGGCCTACCTGAATGCACACTGAGTCCCCTCTGCCTGCTGTTGAGTCTCAGGGTAAGGGCTGGAGAGGTGGTGGGAGGGCAGGCTAGAGCCAGGACCCGGGTCTGCCCTGCCTCTCCCAGATCACTTTCTTCTGTGACCTGCTGCTATTGTATGTGGATGGAGAATCCCATTTCTACTGGATGACCAAGTATGAGGAGGTGAGCTGTAGGCCTGCCCCGCCACTGGGAGCTGCTACGCTCCGGAAGATGTTGGCCGGAGCCCTGACCTGCCGTCCTAATCTTCAGGCAAAGGCTCCGAAGGTGACCTCCGAACCTGAGCAGACGGAGCTGACCTCCACACCCCCACACCCAGCTGCGCAGGTGCCTTAGAGGAGCCCAGCACCTTCCCCCATGGGCACTGCTGCTGCTAGGACCCAGACATCGACGCCAAGGTGGCCCTGCCCAGGCTCTGTCCCCCACTCACTGGTCCATTCCTGAGGCCTGTAACCATTTCCTGCTGGCTGGGGGATGGGAAGGGTAGAGGCCCCGCCTTGAGGACCTCATGGATGAAGCCCCTGCAGAACCAGGGCGGGGGCGGGGGTGGGGGTGAGAGAAGAATTCTACCTTCAATTCCTAGGCAGATTGTCCCTAGCCTGACTCCAGCTTCGTTCGGCGCGGCCTGGGGAGCAACTGAAACCAGTTTTGTATAGAGAGCTGCAATGGTACAGAAGCCATGCAGAAGGGAGCCCTGCGCGCCACATGGCAGGACACTGGTCCAGTGGGGCTCCTGCTGTGTCTGTCTGCAGAACTCTCTCCCAGGCTGTCCCCAGTGCTCCCAGCAGTGGCCCGCTCACCAGCTGACAGCACTGGCCCTCACACTGACTCCAGCCTTGCCTGGCTTCTAGCCCTCCTCCCTCTGTATTCATCACAGGTCGAGCCCCCCCAACTTTGCTGTACTGGGGACAGTGCAGCCAGAGTCTACCAGCAAGGTAGAGGAGGCCCGACAAAAGGGGTTGTCTCAGCTGCTCTGATGCTGGGTTGTGTAGGGCAGGTCCCACCCAGATGTGGTCCTTGTCCATGGAATGGAGAGTGAGGTGGGCAGATGATCCAACCCACCAGGACGCCAGGCAAGGGCACAGGCACCTCTTGGGCCCACATCTGCTCAGCGTATGAGTAATGACCCCTTCCCAGTGGCAGCCCTCAGCCTATGGAGGGCTGAGATGGGGAGGGGACGATGGAGGGTCTGAGTTGGTAGTCATTGGGAGCTTTGTGACCTTCTATATACCTCCTTGGAGACCACCCCCCGAACCTAACCCCTGGAACCTGTCCACTGGGCTTCCTGGGAGCCAGGGGAGTGGAGAGAATATACACCTTGAATTTACTCTTGCCCAATGTCATGCCTAAAAACTTGTCTGGGTACCTGCATGCTGGAGGCCTTGACCATGACCCCATGTGGAACCCAGTGGCTGAAGGAATGTCCCCAACAAAGGACACTGATGCCCCAGCAGGCTGGCCTGGCTTTGGCTCTGGAATCCGCCGGGGGTCTGAGTTCTGCCTGCCGGGATTTTCCCTCAGCTTTGTATATCCAAGGTCAGAAAGGGTAGGACAGGAGCCACAGGAGTCAAACCCTCTCTTGGTCCCAGGGCAGGGGCAGGGCTTTGGGAGTACTCACTCCAGGGAGGTGAGGGGCTGCTTTCCCATGGGTCCCTGGTGACCAAGGGCATGCTGGCAGCTTGTCAATGGAGTGACATGGGCCAGTTGGGGAAGGATGGGATGAGGCTCAGGCTGTTGTAGCATCTGGAATCATCTGGCACCTGGAGCCTCAACAGAGCCTTGGGTCCCTGCTGCCTCTCAATCCCCAGAGCACTGTGTATGGGGAGAGGAGCTCAGAAGGGCCAGAGTGACAGAACATGGCCTTGAGGCCTGGTTATTAGAGTAAGGTCACATGTACCTGGTTGTCTTTGGAGCCCAGAGAAAGCTCGTAACATGGCTGCAGGAAGTTGAGGAGTAAAGCCTGCCAAAGCCAGCAGCCTCCTGTGTGGTCCTGACAAGCAGGAATAGGGAGTTGGAGATATCTATAGTGGACATAGAACAGTCTTGGCAAGATCAGTGGGAGGAGGGGCAGAGTGGGCCTGGGGACCCCCCTGAGGAATGGGGCCTCACAGCCACCAAGTGGGCTGGAAGATATTTGGAGTAGACCCAGGCGGTTGTGTACCCATACACACACGTGTGTACTATCCTGAACCTTTATCACAAAGCCCTTGAGAAGGTGGGCAGAGAGAGAGAGAGAGAGACAATGAGGACCAGCTGTTGACAGCTGGATCTGAGCTTGGAAATAGCTGTTGCTTCAGTCTGCACGCAGGTGTGCTCCTCAAGGCAGCCATGTGGATGGACCATGTGAGCACATGCCTGAGAGGTGTGTGTGCTCGTGCAGGTGTGCCTTTATATCCCTGGGCAGCCGCAGGCACATGCCCTGATGTCTAGCAGCCCTGGAAAACAAGATGACTCCAGAACTCTGCTGCCCTTTCTAGGCAGCCTCCTTGGGGCCCACAATCTGCTCTCTGGATTCACCCCTGAAGGGGACATGTGGAGAGCCTGGGGGAAGGGAACCTGTCAGGACCTGCTCCTGTCATGGACCCCTCTTCACCCGGTGCTTGTAGGGGGTGTGTGTAGCTCCTTTCTGAGTTGGGCACAAGGCACTGGCCTGAGGGCAGGACCATGGGACCCAGGCTATGTCCCTGATTCAGGGTTGTCCCAGAGCTGGCACCTCTCCCTTGCAGAACCTAGGTGTCTCTGCTGAGGATTAGGGACCATCACCTGGTTTAGGGGGTGGGGGGCAGGCAAGGACTCAGTACCACAAAGAAGGCCACAGTGGACACAGTGGCAGGCCACATGGCTGGTTGAGCAGTTATTATTGTGGATCCTTGGGGCTGCACACTCCAAGGATCCCACTTCACCCCATAAACTGGGGTGGTCATAAACTGAAAGGTGCTGAGCAGGGAGTCCACCATACCAGCCCTGGCCATAGTCCACTTCTGAAGACCCAAAGCTCGGAACCTGGGCTAAGCTCTAAGGTCCTGAGGACCCTCTAGCATGGGCAGGCCTATAAACATGAGCCGCCCCAGACAGAGGGGGCTTCCAGCCTCTCCAGCCTCCTGAGGAGGTAGGGGAGGGTGGGCAGACCTCTAGCTGTCCTCATGGACTGGTGAGTTGCTCCGTGCAGCTGGGCTCCTGAACCAGTGCCTGGCTGGGGGGCTGCACGGCCTGCACCGTCTCCTCCAGGGTGCCACTGGGGAACACCACATAGCGTGTGGTGGCTGGCTCCTGCTGGTTCTCCTTGCTGTGCCAGATGCCATAGCCGAAATATACCACGAGTCCTGCAGGGGTTGCACAAGCCTGAGGGGCAGGTCCAAGCCCTTTGCCCTCCTTGCCATCCTCCTGCAGCCCACCCGGGGCTCCAGCCGGGCCCTCACTCACCAATCAGCAGCCAGATGGAAAAGCGCAGCCAGGTCAGGTAGCTCAGGTTCAGCATGAGACAGATATTGAGTAGGATGCTCAGGGCTGGAGTCAGGGGCACCAGGGGGATCTGAAGGAAAAGGGCTGAGCTGGGCTGGGCTGGGCTGCAGGAAGGTCTGCAGGCCCAGGATCCACAGAGCCTTTTTCCACCTCTGCAGATTCTAGAGACAAGTGCCCACTCTCCAAACAGAGAGAGGGGGATGGGCGTGTTGGCTTCCCCAGCCCTGTGAGCCCTGGTTCATCCTGTTATGGCAGAGGAGGAGGGGGTGAAGGGAGCGGGCTGGGCTGATAGCAAGTGGGTGTTGGCTGGGGGAGGTACCTGGAAGGTGTCCTGCCGGCGCTGTTGCTGGTGGGCCCCCAGGACAAGAAGACTGAGCACAAATACGGTAGTGCTGAGTAGGAGCAGCAGGATGTAGCTCCAGTTCGGGAGGTACAGGGCCGAGTTTCCAAAGACCAGCACACAGCCCAGGGTGATGGCCGAGGTCACCATGATACCAAGTGCCCAAGCCACAGTGGCTCCAGGGTTGCACCCACCCAGGAAGCCCAGGTAGGGCCTCAGGGATGGCCGCAGTTGCCCAGGCTTGGAGGCCGAAGCCTGCTCAGTCCCCACCAGCTGAGTGTGGTCTTGGAAGGAGTTGTACTCCTTGGTCACAGGGCCAGGGCTGGCTTCACCTGTGGAACTAGATGGAGGGGCCTTCTGGAAGCGTAGCATGATTATGCTGGTGGCCACAAAGGTGTAGGCCAGCAGTGTGCCAATGGACAGGAACTGAACCAGTGCCTCGAGGTCCAACAGCAGTGCCATGAAAGCCATGAGGACCCCAAATACCACGATGCCCACCATAGGCACCTGCGTCCGGGGGTGCACGTGGGCAAATGCCTGGAAGAAGAGCCCATCGGTGGCCATGGCGTAGATGATTCGTGGCCCAGAGAAGAGGTTGAGGAGCAGGACAGTGTTCATGGCTGTGACAGAGGGTGGGGGACTGGTCAGCATGGTGGACAGGTCCACTAGGGGCTTCTGCTGGGAGCTAGAGCACAAGCAGTCCCTTGGGAACATGGACATGAGTTTGTCTGGGTTATCAGAGTGAGCCTGAGTATATGTGGGGTGCTGAATTGTCACCCCACCACTACCCCCCAGGAATGGGACACCCCTGTTTAGGTGACCGGTCCATTGGAGAATCAGAAGAGGGCTGTCAGGAAAGGACCTGGAAGTAGATACCTCAAACTAATGACTTACAACTGGGAGCAGGCAATGAAGAGGTCCCTCCCAACAAGCCTGGGTGGAGAATCTAATAATAATTAGCACCTTTCTGGACCCATTATGTAAAACTAAAGTCCAGATGAAGATGTGTTCCCCGGAAGGCTTAGAGCAGGGCCCCACTGCCCTGTTCCCTCCCACCTTACCCAGAAGGGCCCCTTACCGCAGATGGAACCAGCTGCTACGATGAAACCAGCCCAGCTGTAGCCCCGCCGGTAGAAGGCATCGGCAAGGGCTGAGTCAGGATCCAGGCTGTGCCAGGGTACCATGAGGGTGAGCACAGTAGAGACAAGGATGTAGGCACTAGCCACCAGGCCAAGCGAGATGGCAATGGCTGTAGGCACGGCTCGCTTCGGGTTCCGGGCCTCCTCGCAGGAGGCAGCAATAACATCAAAGCCCACAAAGGCAAAGAAGCAGGTGGCGGTGCCAGCCAAGATGCCAGAGAAGCCAAAGGGCGCAAAGCCACCCTCCTCAGGGCTCCAGTTGTGTGGCTGGGCCAGGACGAATCCCATGATAATGATGAAGAAAATGATGACTAGGCTGATGGTAGAAAAAACATGATTGAGCCAGGAGGAGATTCGGGCTCCGCAGGAGACCAAGGCAGAGGCCAAAAGGATGATGCCAGTGGCCAGGAAGTCTGGGTAGTGGGCCAGGAATGGCACCTGCCAGACGCCCACATGGGCCTCAGTGAAGTTGCGGATGCGATGGCTGAATATGGAGTCCAGGTAGCCGCTCCAGGCACGGGCCACTGCGGCACCACCAATGAGGTACTCAAGGAGCACATTCCAGCCAATGAGGAAGGCCCAAAGCTCACCCATGGACACATAGGTGAACAAGTAGGCAGAGCCTGTGCGGGGCACGCGTGCCCCAAACTCTGCATAGCATAGGGCAGCCAGCAGGGAGGCCACAGCAGCCACACCAAAGGACACGAGCACAGCAGGGCCGGCCATCTGCTTAGCCACAGTGCCCGTGAGCACGTAGAGGCCCGAGCCTACCATGCCACCCACGCCCAGCAGGGTCAGGTCCAGCGTGGACAGGCAGCGCTGCAGTGAGGTCTCCATAGAGGACCCCTCCAGTGGCTTCAGCCGGTTCATCTTCTGGCAGAGGTGCGCTAGGCTGGTGGTGCTGGGCAGCCCCGGGGCCATGGTGGGCAGCTAAAAGGAGCACCAAGTCAGCTGCTGGAAGCTGCCAGTACCAGAGGGGAATGACAGGCTGCCCAACTGGGTCCTGACCAGCCTTCAGTCCTTGCTCTGTCCCCACCCTGGGGACCACAGCACCTGCACGACTGGCCTGTTGGGGGGCTGGGATGGGGCAGAGGTTAGAGCCTGCCAGCAGGGTGGGCAAGTCACAGGGAAGCATGGAGACCTCAATTGCCTCCAGGACAGGAGAGGGAGCCGGGTGGAGCCAGACCTTGGCCTGTTTGGAGGTGGCCCTGCGCATGAGGAAGGGGCAACCCTTAGGAGTACTGCTGGGAACCACTCTGTGATATGGGGTCAGAGAGCAAGATGGAAACCAGAGGCTTCCTGGGAGCTGGGGCCAGGTTGTTCCAGGACCCGGAACAGGAGTGGCTCTGCGTAGCCCAGTCAGCCACCTGGCCTCAGACAGAGGCCGTCTTCCTTCCCTCCCCCACCCAACAGGGCTGGGAGGCCAAGGGCCGACGCTCCCACACACGCTGCCCGCCGGAGCCAGCTCCGCCGCACCCTTGTCCCCAGGTACCTGAGCCTTTGTCTTTT